TATTATTACCATTATTATTATCATCATCATTATTATCATTATCATTACTGCTACAATTATCAAATCCAGTGTGTTATTATCTATTATTATGTCAACCATCGTTACCACACACATCCCGGCTGGGGTTGTGGTGGTGGTATTATTATTGTTATTATTTTATTATTATTATTATTATTGTTGTTGTTGTTGTTGTTGTTATTGTTTTGTTGCTGTTGTTGTTTTGTTGCTGTTGTTGTTGCTATTATTACTATTATTATTATTACTACTACTACTATTATTGCTATTGCTCTTATTGCTGTTGTTGTTGTTGTTATATTACTACTACTATTATTATTATTATATTATTTTTATATTTATTCTTTCTGTTTTCCCCTTGCTGCAGGGCAGATCCTGTACGGCCGCGTGCTCTGGAACCCCGAGCAAAACCTCAACGCCGCGTACAAGCTGCAGCTGGAGAAGGTCTACCTGTGCACGGGCAGGGACGGCTACGTCCCTTTCTTCGACCCCACGGGCACCGTCTACAACGAGGGGCCCCAGTACGGCTGCATCCAACCCAACAAGCACCTGAAGCACCGGTTTCTCCTCCTGGTGAGTGTGGACAGGACCACGTTGTCGGGTGTCGTGTATGATCGCGTCTGGAGAAGCCTCTCAGCCCCTTGGTAACCTAAGGGACCTGGGAACCTCCTGCTTGTGGGGAGCCTCTTTATCCTTCATAGCTACAAAAGAAAATGAGGAAGAAAAAGAAGTGATGTACCAAGATTTTAAAATTTCCCTTGATCTCTGCTTGCACCATGGCTTGGAATTGCCAGGACTGGCAGAACATAGAGAGATTTATTTACCACTTACACTGAAATTCTCCTTTGTTGCTACAATCAGCTCCCAAGTTCAATTCTAATTACATGCTTTGTAATTAACTTTTGCCTCATTACCCCTCCCAGGACAAGGCTAACATGGATGGTATTAGTTTGATACTCATACAGAAGCAGGCTGGTTAAACCTTCCTGCCAGTATTCAGTTCTACAAACCAAATATTGACTCAGTCAGTGCTAAAACAGTACAAAATGTCCACAAATTGTATAAGTCATAAATATTTTCCATGTGATAACCTACATATTTAAATATAATCAATGCCTGCCTGTGTGTGTGTGGACATTCATCTGCAATACTGTGTCCAGTTCTGGGCCCTCAGCTCAAGGAGGACAGGAACTGCTTGAAAGAGTCCAGCAGGGCCACAGAGATGCTGGAGGGAGTGGAGCATCTCCTGCTGAGGAGCGGCTGAGGGAGCTGGGGCTCTTGAGCTTGGAGCAGAGGACACTGAGGGGTGCCCTCATTCCTGGGGATCCATTTGGAAAGGGCAGTGTCAGGAGGAAGGAGCCAGGCTCTGCTCTGGGATGGCCAATGCCAGGACAAGGGGCAATGGTCCCAAGCTGGAGCACAGGAGGTTCAAGCTGCAGATGAGGCCAAAGTTTGTGAGTGTGAGGGTTCTGGAGCACGGCCCAGGCTGCCCAGAGAGGTTGTGGAGTCTCCTTGTGTGGAGACACCCAAAGCCCTGGCTGTGTTCCTGTGTGACTGCTCTGGTGATCCTGCTGTGGCAGGGGTTGCACTGGGGGAGCTTTCCAGGTCCCTTCCAACTCCTCACAATCTGGAATTCTGTGGTTCACTGTGGTTTCTGCAGCAGTGTGTGGGTCTCTCCTCAGAGCCCTGCCTTCCCTTTGGCGAGGGGACAGCACGCACCCCTCATCTCTCGTTTCCAACCCCTCTGTTCTCCAGGACCGAAACCAGCCCGAGGTGACAGATAAGTATTTCCACGATGTGCCTTTCGACGCCCACTTCGCCTCCGAGCTCTCCGAGTTTCACTCAGTCAGCAGCATGCCCGGCGTCGATGGATTTACCCTCAAGGTGGATGCTCTCTACAAGGTCTGTACCACAGCAGAAGCACAAAATCTCATTTCTCTGCCCAGGACATCCCAAATATTCTGTGATTTCTGGGCTTCTTTATCCCTGACCTCTGTCTGCTTAAGACATTGGCACGTGTGGGACTGCACCCTAAATTAACAGCAAAACCAGTTAAGAAGTGAAATCCAGTCTGGAAAATAGAGGAGTTTATTGTGGTGATGAAGGATTTGGGGTTGTTTTTTAAAGCAGTCAGGTTAAAACCGTATTATTAGTGTTCCTGGATTAATTACTGCAGTTGCCAAAGACAGACAAGGAGAGCGAACGCGATAAATATCACTGCAGGCGCTCGAGCTTCTGTTGTTGGTATTTGAGCGATGGGAGAAACGGGACCCAAAAAATGCAACCTTGACCTAGCAAAACCACTTGAAAACTGAGCGTTTTCTGCCCTTTCCCCAAGGTGGAAGCCGGACACCAGTGGTACCTTCAGGTCATCTACGTCATCGGCCCCGACAGCC